TTGTTCTTATGGATACTAATGTATGGGGGAAAGCTCTTGAAGAATTTAAATATTGCCACTGTTGAAAATAAGTGGAGGATTTATTTATGGTAATACAAGAAGTAAATAGGATGTGATGAAGAAATGGAAAGTGGTGAGATATATGTGACTATGAAATAATACCCTAAGGAAGGTGGTGGAACCCCCATTGTGTGATTTATTTAAAACTAAGCTGTCCAAAGCACCGGAGAATGTGGGATAGGTTTGTCATGGAATTAATGGAAGTCTCAGAATCCCTGACCTTAGACATTCTCTGCTTCAGCCCCAGGGGCTGCAGGACTCTAGAGCTGGCAGTCAGTGGGGCCCTGGCAGGGCTCCAGCAATAGGCAACAGCCCCCTGCAAGGTTCCAGCAACTGCCAACCTTGCTGGGCTGGGGGAGGGAGAACAGGTCTCAGGTGAGCAGTTGGGGTGTCCCATTTTCTCTTTGGGAAATATGATCACCCTGCAGCTTCCAGCTGCCATGAGCAGAGGGGGAACCCTACAGCTCCCTGCCACCAGGGAGCTGCAGCAGCAAAAGTCACAGACAAGACACAGCTTTGTGAATTTTTGTTTATTGCCTATGACCTGTCTGACTTTTACTAAAAATAACCTTGACAAAATCTTAACCTTAATGATAGGGAACACTCCTAGAGTAGCAGGGAGATGGACTGTGTATGGATTTAATATCTGTTTATCTCCTATTCTAAGAACAGTTGAATCAAGATGAAAAAAGGTGTAGATGGTGTATTGAGTGTGTGCACTGACTTCTGACCTCACAGCTAGAGCTACATTTAATCTGGCTTATGACAATAGGTAGCTTTCACTGAATAAAACAAATCTAGTTTGAACCATGATAGAGCTAATAGTCTATTCTTACGGAGCAGCTGTGCTCTGACAAAGAAATCTGAAAAATGATTGTTTCCTTTTGTGGGATTATTTTTCTGGTAACAACAATTTGGCCACAATATAGGGCAGCTGGATACATCCATGTTTAGAAACTGCCAGCCCTGGAGGGGTTTTTTTTACAGGTTTTTGAGCTGGCCCAATAGGGTGAGAGGAGCTGCATATTAATATTCTGTCTCAATAGATAAACAGCTGGTAACAGTTGTCATTCTTCTCATCTGCTTCACTGTCCCCATCTGAAGTGGAACTATTTTTGGTAATACTGTGTCTGCCCTGACAGATGCTGAATCAAGCATTAATAATCTCTTGCTTGATATAGGAGTAGCATTGTCTTCCATGTTCTTTCCTAGCTATCTTTACCTTATTTCTCAAGGACTGGAAGAAAATGGAAATGTCTTCACATTGTGTATACCACAGCAAGGAGGGGGATGTTCTCTTCCACTAGGCCAAAGTGTACAATTCCTCAGGCAATGTTAGTTCCCAAATTCAAAACTGGTGACTTCCCCCACTTATTGGAATGCTATTTATTTTATTGTTTCTACCCATTCTTATTTTTTCCAGCTCTGAATTGGTTGACAAGAAGATAGAAGATTTTCTTTCTTTCTTTGAAGAAAAAATCAAGCATTTAACTGAAGAAGCATTCAGCACACAGGTAAAGGGGACCAATAACAATTAGTGAAGGAGTAGAGTCCAACAGAACATAGTCTGTTTGGAGAAAGTGGAAGTACGCAGCTACATTAATATCTGCTCCTGTCTGGTTTCCAGGAAGTGGCTGCAGTGTATAGTGGCATCCATCTGATTTAAATACGGGGCAGATTTTTCTCTTTTGTGAATTTTGACTCCCCTTTGTCAGAGCTCTCACTGTTTTCTGGAGGTGGCCTTGGGGGGGGACGACAGCCTCATACAATAGACTCTAGGGCTGTTTGTAATTCAATATTTAAAACAGCCCAGATCTAGACAGATGCATATTAGAATTTAATACATTCAATGTTGGCTTTGAAGTAGAATCCCAGCTCTTTCAAGAGAAATACTAAGTGGGGTTTTCTTATACAGGTCACAGCTCTAATAAAGCTTAAAGAGTGTGAAGATTCCCATCTTGGAGAAGAAGTGGATAGGAACTGGAATGAAGTGGTGACTCAGCAGTATTTGTTTGACAGGCTTGCCCGTGAGGTAGTGAATTTATTTACAATATGAACAAAGTTTCTTGAAGAGAAGTTTTAACCTCTGCGTAGCAGGTGCTATAAATCACAAAATAGTACCAATTCAAACAAATGGTTGTTAGGTTGTATACACATAATAGCCACAGGGGGGGCCTAGAGTTTTACAAGCTGTGAAAGTATTGTGCTAAGAAGTGAGCTCCATGCAGAAATTAATGTTGACACTTAAAACAGATTGTTGCAACAAACTTTATTTTCAGAGATTGTGGAAATTTACAGCAACTCTACTTAAACATCTGTTAGTGTTTCCACCACAAATTGTTGCTTTCAGGGCTTATAAACTTGGCTGCAAATAATTGCTGTTTAAATGTTGGGAATTAGAGTACTTTTGAGATAGTAGTGTTTAGCAGTTTGAAAAGTGTGCTCTTGTGGTTTTTAGATTGAAGCGCTGAAATCCCTTACGAAAGCAGACCTGGTGGACTGGTTCCAAGCTCATAGAGGCAGTGAGAGCAAAGTGCTCAGTGTACATGTGAGTATGGGTGGATGCAGTTCTAGAGATAGGATATCTCCATTAATTTAAGAATCTCATCTCTTAGAACTGGAAGGGACCTTGCAAGGTCATTGAGTCCAGGCCCTTGCCTTCACTAGCAGGACTAAGTACTGATTTTGCCCCAGATCCCTAAGTGACCCCCTCAAGGATTGAACTCACAACCCTGGGTTTAGCAGGCCAATGTGCAAACCACTGAACTATCCCTACCCCCCAAAGTAAGATTCCTTCTGATCACTTACTCTTTTCCAGGCTCTATTTAAATTTGTCTTGCACCATGTCTTGTCATCTTTTTAGAAAGACTTACAAACACAACTACAATCTAAAAATGGTATTAACTAGTTTAAATTCATGTAACTACCTTAAATGCATCTCAGGAGAGAATAATTCAGAATACAGTAATTTATGCTTAACAGTGAGCTCTGAAAAGTGTAGGGGGAAAATTACTACTTATGTTTAATCTTCTACTAGCTTATCAAGCTTCCATGGGGGAGATAGTTTTTCAATTATTTTAAATGAATGGGTCTTGAAGCATTCATCTTCCTGTTTTCTTGATGATAAAATTTGGTTTTTCAGGTGGTTGGATTTGGAAAACACGAAGGGGACTCAGAAGTACCAGCTGTCTCTGATGAGCAGAACTCCTCATGTGGTGAAATACCTCAGCTAACTTTCTTACCTCCTTCCTCCTTGATGACTAACACCACTTCCATTAAGGACATTAAAGCTTATACATCAGCTCTGAATGTTCTCCCTTACCATAAAATATTAAAATAAATGCCATTTTGCCCTGCAGCAGTGTGTAATTTAAATTATTTAGTCTCACACTAATGTGCAAGATCATACCTTAGTTTCAAAAACTAAGGAATCTTACTCCTTACCCTCTTTTGAAAGCTGTAAAAAAATTTTGTTCCAAGGAAAATATTCCTGATCTAAAACACTTGCCTATTCTTAAATAGCCTTTCTAATAAAATAAAGGCAAGAGGGCTAAGAAGTTATTTGGTGTTACGTCCTCAATTTACACAAAGCATTAGTTTAAAAGTTTACAGATGGTTCAGCATGAATGCTAAAGTGAACTGTGCAATAATTACGGAAAGAATTGGCGAGTTTTCAGTAGATACCTATAATGCATTCTCCTCTAACACATTTATTTTCTATCCAGGCCACTGTATATAAGACAGTCTTATCACCTTTTTTCAGATCTATTATTGCTGGGTGAAGTATTAATTTGTAAGTGGCCCATTCACTAAACTAGCTCAAATCATAATCACGGGTATTTAAATTTCATCATTAGCATTAACTGAGTACTTGCTAATTCCCCCCCCTTCTACTAAAGCATTAAATAGGGTTGTTGGTTGTAGTCTGGCTGTGTGCTAATTTATCAATTGTAGGATTAACAGTTGTCTGGTCTAAATGCCACTTTAGCCTTAGCCCTAAGCTACTGCTAGACAGTAAAGTGAATTTTATTTATTGATGCTTATAAAAATTCAGACTAATCAGTTGGAAATTAATTATTGTTTGGGGGAAGACAAAGTAATCACTTGTTACCACCCCTGCAGTGATGAGAGGGGAAGGAAAAGCATCTCCTTTCTCCACCAGAGGGATGTAGGTAGGACAAACAAGGCCATGGACAGAGGCTAAGGCTCCTCTAGCAGCGAGGAGGAAAAGAGAAGCCTCCAGAATCAAATAGCAAGGGAAATCCAAGACATGTAATACAAAATATTACTTCGCCTTCACAGAAGAACTGCCCTTGTTGTGCTGAGGGAGTGGTCCCTTCTAAAGCTTTTCTAGCAGCTGCTGTGTTAGATTTCTAGTAACTTTCAAGCCTTTATACAAGTCTACAAAGATGTCTAGTAATACAGTATGACTACACAAATTAATTCAGGAGGGGATAAATCTGACTAGATTCTATACAGCACCAGAATAATCATTTTGAGTGAGTTCATCACTACCTTATTTAATGTTTCCTCAAAGCTTAAACACTGTTCAGCCCATACAGTTACCAAAATTTTGAGAGCATATCTGGCTACTGGGAAGCAAGGCCAGGGTCAGCTTCCAGAAAAGTCCTGTTACAGGCTTTGGGAATTCCCCTGCATACTCTAGAGCATGGACATATGGTGAGAACACTGATACACAAATTTTTCACTTCACTGATGCTGGGTAAAACTTTCAAAAGCACTTTATATGACTGAAGCTACAAAGTGGTTATAATAACTTTTGAAATGGGATTTAGGTGCTTTAGAAAAGTGTACTGGATTTTTATAAAGTGATACAAATTTTTCACACACAACATTTGGAAAGTAACTTTTTATCATAGCACAGTTTCAAAACAGTCTTACTGTAAAAGGTTTTTATGAAATAAATACAAATCCATAAGAAGTTTGAAAAATCTATTTTATGAAGCTTTAAGATGCACTGAGTAATTCAATTGTAGTCTATGGTTACATTTTAATTTCTAAAATAAAAAAATTATTTTGGGTGAGACACAAATGCCAAAAGGTTTGATTTTTATCATACAGGTGGCAAATAACATTTATGTAGATTTCTAATAAACTGTCCAATCAAAGGAATCCTCATATTTACACATCAAAAATGTTAACTGGATTTAATTAAGTGAAGTCTTGCATTTTTATATATATATATATTTATATATGTAGACCCCCCAGAATATTATGCAACTGATACCAACTATGTCCTTTACAGTGGTTATACCAAGTATGCTTCCCATGACTTAGGCCCACGGTTCATTGATGCTTCTGAAGCATGTGTGAGGGCTCAGCCATCATGTCGTTGAAGCTTGAATACACAATCTGAATGGTAAAGTCCAAAGCTACTATATGACTGTCAAATAGTTAAGACATTTCCTGCTTTAATTGTTCATCAGCATTATTAAATCCAGTATCCCTGAGATAGGAACCACTGTAACTGGAGGGGACAGGATCTCCAAAATAAAGTACTTGCTAGTCATAAATTTATCTTGTAGTTGTAAAATTCACTAAGCCAAGACCTGAATGTTTTAGGTTTTTATAACCACTTAATGTTTAGTGGCAGCAAGTCGTTTCAATAGTGGCTCATCATAAACCCAACATTCTCCATCTTCATGGAATAACTAGAAGAAAATAAGTAAATGTAAGTTTTTTGGAAAAGAATGAGGCAGAACACAGGCCAGGGGTGCTGGAACAATTTTTACACTGGGGGTGCTGAGAATGGAAACCATATATTTGGTGTTTGTTGTTACTACTTCAATTTAAAGGATAAAAGCCTTTCAGATTTACATTTGAATAAAAGCTCACCCTTGTTTCCCATGATGTCTCTTTCTCCTTTCTGGCTCTAGCTTCAGCTCTTTGTCTTTCTTCCAATCTGTGCTTTGCATCTGTGGCTGCATCAATGTCTCTGATTTTTAAGTTGTAAGTTACATCTTTCCATAGGCTAAAGAAATAGAGGCTATTATTTTCAGATGTTGATCTAGGGGCGGAAGCAGTGCTACTAGGCGATAGCAAAATTTTTACTGAATCTTATCACTAAATAAATCTGGAAAGCCTTTAACATGTTGCTACAACTAACTCAAGAAAGAATTCTGAGGTCCAAGTTCAGGTTCATTTGTACTTATTTGGGAAACACTTTAATTTAGCACCTGAACTATCAGCTATAACGCCATAGTTAAATTTACCCAAACTATACTCAGTTTTTACAGAAGTTCTATTTCTAAAAAAAAAAATCCTCAGACATATGAACAAGATAAGAAGCCTTCAACTGTCACTTTAATGAAGCTCTTACCAGCGGGATTCATATTCCTCTTGATCTTCCAGTTTCTTTACCTTCTTCTTAATTGTAGGCATTTTCTTGGTATCTATAAAGACTACACTCTCCTAAAGAGAGAAAATTATTCTGCTGTTACTGTGTTTAAAAATAAAGAAAAAAATTCAAGTTTAGGCTACGCTTTGTTCATACAATACATTTCCTGGCAGAGGACAGAGAAAGATCTGTTTCTTGCTTTAAGTTTTTCTTATAGATTTCTGTAGCAAAAGTCTACAGCGTTCAGCTACCTTCAGAGCAATTTTAATCCAGTGTGAAAAAAATTCAATTATGACCTTTCAGGCAGCTTCACAGGAGCATTCGCCCTGTGCTTTTAATATCTTAACGACTGCTGTAAAGGAGTTTCCGGTGCCCCACTCTTCCTTTACCAGATCCTTAGTTTTGACCTAAAGGCATCATTTACAAAAAGCAGGAGTGCAACTTTTACAGTAGTCCCTTAACATACAAAGTCAGTATTTTCCATCCATAAATATACATACAAAATGCAATGGCATATTCTGATTTGCCAGCAACACAAATATCTGAACACACTGTTTCTGAGAGAGTAAAAACAAGACAAGTTGCTTTACCCCTGTTGCATATTTTGCATACATGACACCATTCCATTCCCCTTCAATTGAGCAGAAGGATTTCTTGTCATGAGGAGAACTAAATGAAAGAAAAAGGAAAATAGTTAAGTTCATTATTGCACTACAAACCCCCCTCTCAGGATCAGGTCCTTCTTGTCTTAGGTACTATACATATAAATAGTAAGGCAGTGCTTGAAGTAAAGAATAGAAAGTGTCAATAGAGAAGTACAGTATTATCTCCATTTTACAAATGGGAAAAGTGGGAGAGAAGTGTGTTTTGTTTTGGTGTAACTGCACTGGTGCAAACCCTTAGATTGGCTGAGCCAGTGTAAAACACGTTTTGATCCAGAGCAGTGTCTCTACTCCAGTGCACATTACCCTAATCTAGACAAGCCCTACATTACTAAATTCAATTCACAAAGCTAAAACAAAAAGTTTGTGGAAAACTAGTAACACAGGGCAGGATTTTCAGAGGCTGAAGATTGAATGTGTCCAAATCCCATTGAAATGCAATGAGATTCGGTTGTCTAACGCTTTTAGGCCTATCATATGAAAACCCCAGACAGCCTGAAAGTACAGCTAAGAGAATAGGATGCATTAATATACACGTTGCCATAAACAGTCAAACTAGCAATCTAATGTACAGCCCTTTGTCAGCCTCCCTCTGTCCCCTTAATTATTTGTATTACAGTAAAGTCCCCAGTCAGGATTGAGGCCCCCATGATGCTAGATCAGGGGTGGGCAAACAGCCCGGGGGCCACATCCGGTAGGGTTACCATTCGTCCGGATTTACCCGGACATGTCCTCCTTTTTGTGCTAAAAATAGCGTCCGGGGGGAATTTGTAAAGCACTCACAATGTCCGGGATTTCCCCACAGCAGAGCAGAGCAAGCGGCTGGGAGGGCTGCAGGGAAGTCCCGGGCTGGACTCAGGAGCAGCTGTAGAGGAGCCGGATCCGCCCTGCATTCTGAGCTGGCAGCTCCCTTGCAGCCCAGTCCG